TAGTGAATGTCTAGCTTAAGAAGCGATCTGTGGTGGATTGCTTTTCAGAGGAATCTGCCAGGCAGCTGAGAGGTGATATGTTGCCTCCTCGTTGCCTGTTTCAACCTTCGAAAGCCCTCACCACCATGACCACAACCACGTGCATTGCATGCTGTTGCAGGACAGCCCTATTCACTTGAATGGGTCGTGTTCAGCCAAATGACTGCCTACCAAAGGCGACAAGGGATGTCATTTTTGCCGCAGCTGAGAAGCAAAGCATAGCACCCATGGCATGTGTGCAGCCCCATCCGGCTGCCTTTCCAGCCTAAGGGAGAGGATGAAGCAGTGGCCACCTATTTCTACCCCCCCCCCCCCCCTCCCAACCACAAGTGCAAGCCAGGTCTCAAGCGTTCAACAGACCTTCAACCACCAGCAACACACCATAACCACCAGCTGTGGACAGAGCTTTAGTGATCCCACCAGATACATGGCTCGATTCCCTTGGCCCTTCGATCCACTCTCTGTACTCATATAGTATCTGCTTTATGTTGCCAATAGGTCATCTTGCCTCTTACATTTGCTCCGTCAAAAACTGCAAAAAGAAAATAGCAATCACCGCCCAAATAGCAGCACCCTCCTTCGGGTGGCGGTGGCGAGGATGGCGGTGGGGTGTGAACATATTTCTCCGGGGTGGTCAGCTGTATTAGGAATGTCTTCTTCTTCCCTTCTCCGCTTGTTGGTTTATGGACAGAATTAGAATGAATGCGCTATTAATATTATCTGACTTTTTATTTATTGAATGATGGCTTCTAAAATGAACACACAAGTCCTGGAAGACAGTATTGTGTATAATGGGCTTGGTTATAGCCCAACCCCAGCCAAAGCTATTTATTTTAGATGGAGTGGAGAAGGAGAAGAATCTCCTCATCAACAAGCCAATAAATCTTTAGAATAAAACCTTTCCATTTCATTTTAGACCCATTGCTGGGTCCCTGTGCCTCTCTATGCAAAGCAGGCAGATCATATCTGATGGGAGGGGCCAGTAGGGTTCTGTTTTTGAAAACTTCACAGCACCCTGCCTCAGTACTCCTCTCAAGAATCCTCAGTCCTGTTGAAAGCAGAATCAACCATTTGGCATCAGGGAGGAGTTATTGATATTTGAACGTTGCATAAGACAGTCAAGTTGGGCAAATATTCTGGGTTGTCTGTAGGTGCCTGAAGATCGGCCACCAAAGGTCATTTCTTTTTCTGGTTTCTTGTCTTGCTTTGTCAGGCTGCGTTTGAACACTTGTGGGTAAATCCACCAACAGACACAAAAGGGGGTGCAGAGAGGAGTCACCAGACTTTTTTCAGCTCTAGGTTTCTACAGGCATATACTCCTGTGCAGACAGGGGACTGGTGGATTGTGTGATCCACTGGAGGCTTTGCATTTATAGCAGATAACCGGCACCTTCATGTACATATTCTAGAGCAGCCTTTCTCAACCACGGGTGCCTTGAGGCTTCTTCAGGGGTGCCTTGAGGTTTCCTCAGGGGTGCCTTGGCAAAATGTCTAAAAATTGCCAAAAATTTGTATACAAGCCAGCGGGTGGAACAAGCCCGCCTTTTAGTTACAGAAAGCCACAGGTTTTCATTGTGCTCCATTCCGGCCTTCTAGCCGCCGGCGTCCTGACAACCAATGACATCATCAGTTGATAAGGAGGATGCCAGTTGCCTGCACACCATCCTAGTTTGACCCTCCCCTGCCCCCTCCATCAGTGCTGGGGTCACATTAGCTCAGTGAGGGAGAAGAGAAACATTGGAATACTAGCCAGTACCAGTGTAGAAAAGTGTATTTGCTTTGGAAGAATAAATCCCCTCTAATGTTGGGTGTCCTACATGTGTGGGTGTTGCTGCGTTATATAAAACTATTAGAATAGTTTTTCACATTTTTGAATGGGGTGCCTCAGGACTGTCAATAATTTTAAAGGGTGCCTTGACTGAAAAAAGGTTGAGAAACATTGTGCTAGAGCAGCAATGGGCAAACTACGGCCCGGCGGACCTTTTAATCCGGCCCGCGGAGCGTGTGTAGGCAGGGCATGTGTGTAGGCGGGGCAGCGTGACGAACGTGAGGGGAGTTAGGCTCCTCTCACAGTCCGCCCTGAAGACCGGAACGGCGCGGGAACTCGGCGAGAGGAACACGTGGAGCAAAGGTAAGCAAATTGACACAGGGGGGACTTGGCTTACTACTTGGGGGGGAATAGTACTATGGGGGATGAAATACTATATGAGGGATGAATTAATATGGGGGATGAATTAATATGGGGAATGAATTACTATAGGGGGGATGAATTACTATATGGGGGATGAATTACTATATGGGGGATGAATTACTATATGGGGGATGAATTACTATGGGGGATGAATTACTAGGGGGGATGAATTACTATGGGGGATGAATTACTATGGGGGATGAATTACTATATGGGGGATGAATTACTAGGGGGGATGAATTACTATGGGGGATGAATTACTATGGGGGATGAATTACTATATGGGGGATGAATTACTATATGGGGGATGAATTACTATGGGGGATGAATTACTATATGAGGGATGAATTAATATGAGGGATGAATTAATATGGGGAATGAATTACTATAGGGGGGATTAATTACTATAGGGGGGATGAATTACTATGGGGGATGAAATACTATATGAGGGATGAATTACTATGGGGGATGAATTACTATATGGGGGATGAATTAATATGGGGGATGAATTACTATAGGGGGGATGAATTACTATAGGGGGGATGAATTACTATATGGGGGATGAATTACTATGGAGGATGAACTACTATGGGGGATGAATTACTATATGGGGGATTAATTACTATGCTTACTATGGGGGAATATTACTATACTGTACTTACTATGGATGGCATGGTAGTGTTTAAATTAATCTAAACATTTAATGTTACAAATTTTAATTTAATTTATATTAATTCACACATACACATCATTCATCTACTCTTGGTCCGGCCCCCGGGTCCAATATATGAACCCATTGCGGCCCTCAAGTCAAAAAGTTTGCCCACCCCTGTGCTAGAGCCTTAAAATAATGTATAATTTGGCATTTTGTGGGTTTTTTTAAATATTATGGTGCAAAGACTGATATGTGTCTGTACAGCATTGCAGCATATGTTAGAAATATATAAATGTATAATAATAGTGTGTGACTGTGGGGGGACATTAGAGTGTAAGCTCCTCTGGTACAGAGACTGATGTGACTGTGGGGGGACATTAGAATGTAAGCTCCTCTGGTACAGAGACTGATGTGACTGTGGGGGGACATTAGAGTGTAAGCTCCTCTGGTACAGAGACTGATGTGACTGGCTCAGTGATCTCTGTACAGCACTGCGGTATATGTCAGAGCTATATAAATGTATAATAATAATAGTGTGTGACTGTGGGGGGAGGGGACATTAGAGTGTAAGCTTCTCTGGTACAGAGACTGATGTGACTGTGGGGGAGGGGACATTAGAGTGTAAGCTCCTCTGGTACAGAGACTGATGTGACTGGCTCAGTGTTCTCTGTACAGCACTGCGGTATATGTCAGAGCTATATAAATGTATAATAATAATAGTGTGTGACTGTGGGGGGGGGGGGGGCATTAGAGTGTAAGCTCCTCTGGTACAGAGACTGATGTGACTGTGGGGGAGGGGACATTAGAGTGTAAGCTCCTCTGGTACAGAGACTGATGTGACTGTGGGGGGACAACAGACTGTAAGCTCCTCTGGTGCAGAGACTGAAATGATTGGCTCAGTGTTCTCTGTACAACGCTACAGAATATGTCACTGCTATATAAATGTATTACAATAATGATAGTGTGAGGCTGTGGAGGGACATTAGATTGTAAGCTTTTCTGGTGCAAAGGCTGACATCGGAGCTAAATAAATATATAACGTATCAATACAGGAAGGGATACATTTACATAATTAGATTTGTTGGGTTATTTTAACCTTCTAAATAGTAAAAATGAGCAGAGAAATTGCCCTTTATAAATACATGAGAATGAGGATATATACTGTATCTTTCCAATCTGTTCTCCTGTGAATGGAGCCCTATGAGCACTGCAGCGCTCTCCAAAGAGTTAGAGAGGTCGTGGAGCTCCTGGGGAAATCCTTGGATATTATGTGGTCAGGTGACAGCAATCATTTTTGTGTTCCAAATACAAATACCAAAATACAGAAGAATGTACTAAATAGGAACAAATACGGAAATCCTTCTAAGAAAACATTCCTTGAAGTCATTATAGGAGGAAGGTCGATGGGGAAGTGACTACTAGCGAGGGGGGTCTGTTTGTATTACCTCTAATTACCACATTGTCTGGGAGAAGTGCAAGGGCGGACAACCTGACTGCCGAACCACAATTATCACATCATCTGTCTACTTTATAATAAATATTGTGGTTCAATGGTACTCAGCATTCAGACCTAAGCAGAGTTTTTACGCATTTACGAGCATTTTAGAAGTGTATTTCAAACACTTTCTATGTGTACTGAAACTTCAGGCAGAGATCAGTTCTTACAGGCTAAAAAACACCCCAAAAAATGTGAGAAAACACTTGATTCACACGTTTTCAGATGTTCCCATTCAAGTTTATGGGGCCCAAAACACCCAATTCTGCCTCAAAAACAGCTCAAGTAGCTTTTAGAGCATCGATCATTGAGCTACAGGTGCCTGAGTGTTCATTGTGAACAGCTACCATTGAAATACATGGGATTTTGGATGGTGAGCCTATTGGAGCTTCAGGCTACCATGCACTCAGCTGTAAATGGGGCCTAAGAACAGCCAAACAACTCAGTATTTAGAGTACACTTTGTTGAGCTTAACCACCTCCCGCCCGCCATATAGTAATATGATGGATGCAAGGTGGTTCTCTCGTTCTGGGAGGACTTCATATGACGTCCTCCCATTCTCACCGCACATGTGCGGCTCAGGAAGCATGCAGCGCGGTGATCGGTGGTGCGCTGTGTCCCCCGGACACAGCAGATCACTGATCCACGGTAAGAGCCGAAGATGTCGGCTCGGTCATGTGATCAGCTGTGTCCAATCACAGTTGATCACATGTAAACAGGGAAATGCCGGTTATAGGCATTTCTCTTCTCTCAAGCTGTCACACTGACAGCTCGTGAGGAGAGGAGAGCCAGTAATTTCCTCGGAGGGGAAATCTACACTGATCATCAGGGCACTGATGATCAGTGTGCCCTGATGATCAGTGTAGCCTCAGCAGTGCCACCTATCAGTGTCCATCAGTGCCTTGTGTCAGTGCTTATCAGTGCATCGTGCCAGTGCCCATCAGTGCCACATCAATGCCACATATAAGTGCCTACCAGTGCACATCAATGCCACATATCAGTGCCCATCTGAGCTGCCTTTCAGTGTCACCCATCAGTGTCTGTCAGTGCCACCTATCAATGCCAATCAGTGCCACCTATCAGTACCACCTATCAGTGCCAGTCAGTGCTGCCTATCAGTGCGCATCAGTGCTGCCTATCAGTGCACATCAGTGCCGCCTATCAGTGTACATCAGTGCCGCCTATCAGTGCAGTGCCAGTCAGTGCTGCCTATCAGTGCCATGTATCAGTGCTGCCTTTCAGTGCCCATCAGTGATCCCTGTCAATGCCCATCAGTGCCACCTACCACAGTGCCTCCTCATCAGTGCCACCTATCAATGTCCATCAGTGCAGCCTATCAGTGCCCATCACTGCAGCCTCATTAGCGCACATCAGTGAAGGAGAAAAATCACTTATTTACAAAATTTTATAGCAAAAACTAAGAAAAAAAAATTTTTTTTCAAAATTTTCTGTGGTTTTTGGTTTTTGTTTAAGAAAAAATAAAAAACCCAGAGGTGATTAAATACCACCAAAAGAAAGCTCTATCTGTCACTAAAAAATGATAAAAATTTCATATGGGTACAGTGTTGCATGACTGCTCAATTGTCATTCAAACTGCAAAAGCGCTGAAAGCTGAAAATTGGCCTGGGCAGGAAGGGGGTATAAGTGCCCTGTAGGCTAGCGGTTAAAATATAAAACATCAGATATATAAATATACTTACAAACAAATAGTTATATAAATAAACAATTTTGAAAAAATGAATTGTGCAAATATATGAAACAACTAAGTGATGCCACGTTTGGTGATGGTGGAGATAATTGGCACTATTAACACCACCTTCTGAGGAAAGAAGATACACAGTATATTTGGCACAATTTAAGGTGATTCTTATATGGTCTCCAGGACTAATAATTTATTTTGGACTTTTTATGGACACTATTTGTATCATATATTTGCACAATTAATTTTCTCGTAAATGTTTATTTATTGTACTATTTCTTTGGAAATATATATATTATATATGATGTTTTTTATTTTAGGTGGAACAGTGCAATCTACATTTGTATATTGAAAGGATTTCTTCTTTTTGTGTTTGCAGCTCTTTTTTTTTCCTAATTTGGATACAATTTGCATGGTTTCCTTTTTTCTCTTAGAATAACTCAGTATCACTGTTTGAGGAGGGTGGGCAGTAGTAATAGACTAAGGACTTATGGGTGAGTAGTATACACAAGGCCAAAAGTTGGTGGATATTCGATCATCACACCTAAATGAGCTTGTTGGACATCACATTCAAAGAGCATAGCCATTAATATGAAGCCCCCCTTTGCAGTTATAACATCCTCCACCCTTCTTAGAAGGCTTTCCACAACATTTTGGAGCGAGTCTATAGGAATTTGTGCACAATCAAGCAAAAGAGTATTTGTGAGGTTAGGTACTGATGTTGGAGGGAGACAACCTGGCTCACAATGGGCATTTCATGTCATCCCCGTGGTGTTCAGTAGGGTTGAAGTCAAGGCTCTGTTCAGGCCACTTGAGTTCCTCCACACCTAACCATGTCTATATGGAGCTGGCTTTGTTTACAGGGGCAAAGTCATGCTGGAACAGAAAGGTCTTGTTACCACAAGGTTGGAGGAGCACAATTGTCTGAAAGGTCTTTGTATCCTGTTGTATTTAGCAGGACCTTTTACTGGAGGGGTGTCCACATATGCTTGGTCATACAGCAGGTGTGATGGTCAGGTGTCCACATACTTAGGCTTGAGAAGGAGGACTTTCTCCTCAAAACTGGTTGTCTACTAATGTCACCAGGATGTAGATGCCACTGGCTGAGAGGTTGCTGCTCAGCAACACGGATGCTATTGTTTACAAGCACAGAGCAGGTCCTCAGCCATGCTCATACCCATAGGCTGTGCGTGAACCCTGGCAATGATAAGAAAGATCTTCTAGGCCAGTGGTTCTCAACCTGTGGGTCGCGACCCCTTTGGGGGTCGATCGACCCTTTCACAGGGGTCCCCTAAGACCATCAGAAAACACATATTTCCGATGTGTAAAGAGCAGCTACTGTGTAGAAAGCAGCTGCTGTGTTGAAAGCAGCTACTCTGTTAAAAGAAGCTACTGTGTAGAAAGCAGCTGCTGTGTTGAAAGCAACTACTGTGTTGAAAGCAGCTACTGTGTTGAAAGCAGCTACTGTGTTGAAAGCAGCTACTGTGTAGAAAGCAGCTGCTGTGTTGAAAGCAGCTACTCTGTTAAAAGAAGCTACTGTGTAGAAAGCAGCTGCTGTGTTGAAAGCAACTACTGTGTTGAAAGCAGCTACTGTGTTGAAAGCAGCTACTGTGTTGAAAGCAGCTACTGTGTTGAAAGCAGCTACTGTGTTGAAAGCAGCTGCTGTGTAGAAAACAGCTGCTGTGTTGAAAGCAGCTGCTGGGTTGAAAGCAGCTACTCTGTTAAAAGCAGCTACTGTGTAGAAAGCAGCTACTGTGTTGAAAGCAGCTACTGTGTTGAAAGCAGCTACTGTGTTGAAAGCAGCAGTATTGGAGGTAAAACGACACTCATGAATTATAATTACTGGGTAAATAATTTTATGGTTGGGGGTCACCACAACATGAGGAACTGTATTAAAGGGTCGCGGCATTAGGAAGGTTGAGAACCCCTGTTCTAGGCTGTTATGCAACGCATTATTTAGAATGGACTCTTAATATCTGTTCTTGTGGAAGATCTGTACCCAACTGTGCCTGTTTGCTGCATGCCACATCCTGGGTTCCCAGTTCTCATCGGTGGTTGGAAAAACAACCTGGATCATAGGGTTTTATGAAGGCACTAACCTATCTGATCATTGTGAGTGCATTATGTATCCTTCTTTTAAGAATTGTTTAGATGGAAGGGGTTGTTTGTACCCTTTCTGTTCTTTCTTGTTGTTACAGTTGCTCCTGTTCACACCTGAAGGTTTTGTTGTGCTAAAGATCAAGATAAAGAACCCCATTACTCTCAATGGGCCAGTTCATACTTATGCTTTGCATTGATTGAACATGAGCTTCCCTGGGGCAGAATCATGCATTTTTGGCTCCATAGACTTTAATTGAGGTGCCTAAAAGCGATTGAAGAACGTGTTTACTTGCCTTTTTATGTCTCCTTGTTTTAAAGTCTACAGGGTCAAAAAATCTAGTTCTGCTCCTATAGTACATGTATTGTGCCTCTAAACCAAATGGCTACTCTTATGCTAAGGCTCCATTTACATCTCAGTGCTTTGTAGGTTAAAGCACAAAGCTCCAAAACGCTCAACATCCAAATTCCCACGTATTGTAATTGTGGCTCTTCACATATGAGCACTCACACAACTGTAGCTCAATGTTTGACACTCTAAAAGACTCTAAAAGACTACTTTTGCAGCAGAATTTGGTGTTTTTGGCCCCATAGACTTGAATGTCAATATCTGAAAATGTGCAATTTGAGTGTTTTTTGGTTGAGGTGATTGTAGCCATATTAGTGCATTTGCGACAGAAACAATTGCGTACTGTCCGTGATACTTTTTTTATTTGCACTAACATACAATTTTGAGGACAAGCTTTCGGGGTATGTCCCCTTCTTCAGGTCCAAGCAGCACTCCTTGGACTTGAAGAAGGGGACATTCCCGAAAGCTTGTCCTCAAAATTGTATGTTAGTGCAAATAAAAAAAGTATCACGGACAGGACTCAATTGTTTTTTGGCAAATTTTAGCTTGCAAGAACTGATCCCTTAGTGATTTCCATTGGCTAAAAAAAACGCCTAAAGTATGCATACACATGTAAAACGCTTGAAATAACTCTAGAATGTTTGTATATGCACGCAAAAATGCAAAGACCAAGCACCCCCCATGTATATGTACTTGCTTGTAATTATTATCAATCTTTTGCTCAAGCATACCAATCTTATATGTTCGTGGTTGCATTGACTTTTGGCTATATAGTGTATGTATTTGTGTGTGTATATTATATACATCCATTAAATGTTGGCGGATCTCCTAGATAAATCCCGGTAAGGACGCTCTCTGTGTGGAAATTTTGTGTTCTCCCAGGGCTTGCATGGTTTGCTCCAACACTCCTGCTGGTAGGTTGATTTGCTCCTGTCCGGTTTGGCCCTAGTAAGTGTATGTAGGCACCTTAGATTGTAAGCTCTTAGGGGACAGGGACTGATGAGAATGTACAATGTGTAAAGCGCTGTGTGAGTTGTTGGCGCTAGTTAAATACCTATAATAATAATAATAAATATCAGTGGCTTGGCATGTTTTTAATGTACGTTATGTAGTAGATGTGCATCATGGCGGATGCGATGTGCGGTAGCAGTAGATGTAGCTTGTGTTCTGCTATCGCTCACAGTGATCGGTGACACCGGCTGTGTTCTGTGTTGTGTTTTCAGTCCGCAGTCATATATAATTATACGCTCCATGTGGCGGAGGTGTTGTCCTGGGTATTTTCAGTCTGTGTTGTTCGGTGACGCAGGCTGTACACAGCTGGGGATTTTGGGTTGGATGGCTGGGTTGGAGGGGGTCATTGGCCAGGCTAGTGGAACGCACATTTCCTGGCTGTCGGTCTCCTGTGGACAATTCTCCACACACATCTCCCTCTCCTCCTGCAAACACCTGGTTTCCATTTGTCAAGAGACGGCTTATCGGTGGGGGGGGAGGGAGGCCGAGCCGCCTGGCACTAGCCCAGAGCAGGGCTGTGTGTGCATGGAGGGTGTATTGTGTGTGTGAGACCAATGCACAGACTGTGTATAGTGTGTGCAGTATGTGTACAATGTGTGCAAATTGTGTGTAGGCAGTGTGTACGATGTGTGTAGGGCAGTGTGTAGGATGTGTGTAGGCAGCGTGTACGATGTGTGTAGGCAGCGTGTACGATGTGTGTAGGCAGCGTGTACGATGTGTGTAGGCAGTGTGTACGATGTGTGTAGGCAGTGTGTGCGATGTGTGTAGGCAGTGTGTGCGATGTGTGTAGGCAGCGTGTACGATGTGTGTAGGCAGAGTGTACGATGTGTGTAGGCAGAGTGTACGATGTGTGTAGGCAGAGTGTACGATGTGTGTAGGCAGAGTGTACGATGTGTGTAGGCAGCGTGTACGATGTGTGTAGGCAGAGTGTACGATGTGTGT